AAAAAGGGGGTTTATTTTATTATGAGGAAGTATGTTGTTCACTGCAGACGATCAAAGGGATCGTGGATTTAAAGCCAGCTGAGTCAATTGATGAAGGTAAAATAAAAAGTTCTCAAAGGTTGATGAAAGCCCAATCAAAAGGAGATTTCAGGCGATATTAATTTATCAGATAGTCAAGGTTGTACCAGCGGTAATCCAAAGATCAATTGGTATGCTCGATCAGTAAATGAGAATGTAAATGTTCGTGGTTTTTCAACCCGAATAAAATAAAAAGGAGGAAGAAACCTGGTCAAGAAGAAAGATAAGGAAAAAAGATGATTTGTTAAGCGAATTAGTGGAACTAAGGATCAATTTAGTGATGATGATAATGATGATGGTAAGGATGATGATGATGATGATGAAGGTGGAATTGATCAGGCATACCTGAAATCTCCTTCAAAATCCGTTGCGGTGTCAACAGTAAATTTATCTGATTGTACACCTGCAGGTTTACCTGAATATTCATCAATGAATTCTGAGCAAGCAGACAGTAAACTTTTGTCTTCAACTGGGAGTAACAATGCAAATACCAACAAAAATAGTTCTAGTACAACGGCAACAACAACAACAACAACAGTAACAGCAACATCAAGCTCGGCCAACAATAGGCAAACATCAACCTTGAGACCAAGGAGAGGAAGGAGTGGAGGTGGGGAAAGGCGAAGCTCATCTGATCCTTTTGGATGTAACCAAACTTCCCAGTCACTGAGTAAAACTGTTACAGACCACTTGAAATCACGAGGAAGTATAACGGTTCCTTATAGTGGTATAACCATCTCAAGAGGTTTAGCATCGGGTTATTTGAGGCCCTCAGTGGTTAACCTTTATGGTGATTATGAGCCAGAGGAGGGATTAAGAGGTTTAGTCAAGAGGAGTGAGGTCAACAGTAATGAAGATTCAATTTGTACCGTGAAATCGTTTAAGGATAATTGTAGTACTGGATCTAAGTCAACCAAGTGCCAACAACCTAAATCACAATCATCGTCATCTTCATCATTATCATCGTCTTCGTTAATTCCTACACCATCTTTAATTCATCAACTAC